TGAGTGTGAGTGTGTGTGTGTGTGTGAGTGTGTGTGTGAGTGTGTGTGAGTGTGTGTGTGTGTGTGTGTGAGTGTGTGTGTGCGCGCGCGCGCACGTGATGAACCTGGGAACCACGGCAGAACGGTGACCGGAAGCACCCTGGCTCGCAGCAGGGAGGAGGGCTGGGCGTTTCACTGGCCGTGCACGTTTTGTTCCTGGAGGACGGATGCTCTGATTACAAGGAGGGGTGTAGGAATTTGGAGGATCTGGCCAGGGCGTGTCCTCTATCCCAGCTCAGAGAGGACGGGACAGCCTTAGAGGGGCTTGGTTTTGATCACAGTCTCCTGAAAGCTACAGTCCAGGTGCCCAGGGAGAGATGAAGTAACTCACGACGGCCGCTAGCTGAGTGGCTGCCATTCGGATTTCGCCTGTGGTTTGTAGATGAACGCCACGTCCCTGCGTGCTGCTGTAGAATTCGCTGACGGCCCCTCCGTGATTGTGGTTGCTCTTCCCGTCACCCAGCTGAGGACACTGAGACCCGTGCAACAGGTAATGGTAGGAGATGCGGCACATGAGGAGGCCCAGGTCCAGATCTCGTGTGACCTTTCTGCCTGGTAGAGAAGGTCTCGGCGGGACGCCTAGGAGGTGAGTCTCAGCACCAGGAAGTCAGGGAGGGCTGGAGCGTCTTGGGCGACGTCTTGGCTCAGAACGTTGTTTAGGATTGATCGCAGAACACATGGGACCCCGATGGGCAGGTCGCTGGGAGTGGGATGGGGTCATCTCTGGATGTTGGAGTTTTAGAGGAACCCCTTTAAGGGGTGTTGGCTGGTGTTTTGTGAATTTCTGAAGGTGTCTTGATCCCCAGCAGGAGCCGTGCCCAGCTGTGGGAGGGGCCGTACGTGTGTACTGCTCGCATATGCTGAATTATTTGCCGAGCGTGGGAGCGTCTGGCGTCCATTCGTGGGCGGGGTTGCTGTGGGCAGCGGAGAGGTGCCAGCGGTCTCCGGGGCGTCTGTGCCTGGAAGTGTAGGCCCTGCGAGGTGACCACGCAGCACTTTGTAATTTTGTTCCGGGTCCTCTTTGGCCGATTCAAGTTCAACACGGTGCTGCCAGCTGAAGGGGAGGCCAGAGACACTACTCTTTTCACCAGGACCCCCGAAGAAAGCCTGCAATACGGGGTTTTGAAAAATCGGGGTGAAGAGCACGCTGCGGTTCCCCCACGGTCTGACTAAGTGGGCCGAATGTGAGGATCAACAAGAAACAGGATGTCTTGCGTATACAGTGTGCCAAGATGGGAAAAAACCATGTTTCATAAGCTTCGAGGAGAGGCCTAGCCTGCGGGAAGCGTTTTGTGGTCATTTTTTTTTTCTTTTTTTTAAGAGAATCAAAAAGTTTCCAGTAGGACAGAGAATAAACGAAGACGTCCTTTCAGAGGACGGCGTGACGGCTGTCCCCTCCCCCGCAGGGCCCAGGAGCCCGCCAGGGTTTGCGTGCAGGGTCCGCGCAGCCTGCTCCTGGTCCCTGCAGCCGTCCACCGCGGGGCGATGTCGGAGCCCCTCTCCCTCTCTCATCGGCCACGTCTGGCTGTTCTTGGGCTTCTGCCCCTTTACAGAAATAGTAGAGTTAGTTTATAAAACAGCAACAGCCACGATAAAAACAACAAGCAAACCCCTTGGGAATTTGCTGAGATCGTGTTAAACCTGTAGGTCCGTTTAGAAAGAACTGACTTTTTTTTTGCCGTGGTGGACCTCTGTCTTTAGTACTGTGTCACTGTCCATCTGCTTGTCTTCACACGTGTCTTTTGGCAAAGCGTGACACTCTTCTGTAGGTGGGTCTCGCTCATCTCCTCTGTGGCCCCAGGTACGAACGGCGTATGTGTGTTTGTCCCTCGATGGTGGCATCCTTGCTGGAGTATAGGAAGTATAGTTGACGTTTGCATATTGATCTTGCATTCGGCCACTTTACTAAACCTGTAGTATTTGCAACGTTTTTTCAGTAGATCCTCCTCCATGGAAAAGTTCAGATGTGAGTGTCAAGTGTTGCCTGTTTCATTTCATTTCTCATATATGTCTTTTTTCTTGTTCTCCGGTTTGAGTTAGGGCCGACCTAACTCCAACGTACAATGTTGATGCAGCAATAGAAGGTACCCTTCCCTCCTTCCTGATTTTTATGAGGAATGTTCTCATTTAATTACAAATGATGTGTCTGCTGTCATTTTTTTCCTCAAATGACCCTCATTAGGTTAAGGAAGTCCCTTTACATATCTTTTTGGCAGAGTTGTGGTTTATGTTTTTAATCATAAAGGCGTGTTGCATCTTATTGAAGGCAGCAGCCTTTGATGACCATTTGGTTTCTCGTTTGCCTCTTACTGTATTATATTAAATGTATGGATTTTTCCAGTGTAAAAACTTTCTTTTCCTCCTCGGATAACTTGTCTGCTTTATGTTTTGTTTTTTGTTCCTCAATGCACATCCGACGAACATCTGGATTTTATTTGCTTTTATTTTGTTTTAAATTTTTGTTTCTTTACTCATGAGTGAGGTTGGCCTGTATTTTTCCTTTAACTGCTTTTGTCTGGTTTAGAGAGAAATTTTTTCCCCTATTTTTTTCCCTGTTCCTTGCAAGATTTTGTGTGTGATTTATCTGCTCTTAAAACTTTGGTAGTACTCAGCTAAAATCAAAACCTAGTGAGTTCCTTATTGTAAGGTTTCTGTCCAGTTTTTTCAAGGCTTGTGAAATTATTTGACCTCCTATTTCTTTGTGAGTCAGTCTTCTTAAATTGTATTTTTCTAGGCGTATAGTCATTGTTCTTTATTTCAAGTTTAACTGATCATAAAATTTTTCATTTAGTTTTCAATCTCTATTATCTGTTTCACTACAAATATAGTTTATTTAGGCCATATCTTTTTTCTTCCTTGACCAGAGAGTGTTGGTTTTCTTATTATTTTCAAAGAAAAATACTTTTGATTGTTTTGACTCTCTTTATTTTAACTTTTTTGTGTGTGTTTTATTTATTTTTGTCTCTATCTATCATAGGTCTTTCCAAATATTTGCTTTGTGTTAATTCTGCAGTAGCTTTTCTTACTTCTTAAGCTAGAGACAGCTCATTCGCTTTGTCTTTTTTAATACTAGCATTTAAGATTATGAGTTTTCTTCTCAGCACTGCTTTAATGGCATCTCCTAGTTTTTGTTAAATAATATTCTCACTTTTTAGTTCTACCTATTTTCAAAGTTCCGTATTTTCTTATAAACCCACTAGTTATTGACCAGTCTTTCACAGTTTCCGAACCTGGAGAATCTTTTCATCACTGATGTCTGGATATACAAGCCATGTGATACCAGTTATTGGAAATTTACAAAGTTATTTTTTATGTTCCTGTGTAATGTCAGCTTTTGTAAATGTTCTGTGCATTTTTGAGAAGATTGTGAATTCTCAGCTTGTTGATTATGACATTTACAGTGACCATTCAGATCGTTAATAGTGCTTTTCATATCTTCTAGATTTTTGCTAATTTTCTGTTTGCTATATTAAGCTGCGTAGTGAATTTCTTCACTGATGGTGTATTTGTCATTTTTTTCAATAACTATATCATTTTTCTTTTTATATTTTGAAGCTATTTGATAGATACAAATTTTGAATTATTGAATTATAGCTCCATAATGGATTGGACTTTGTTTTTGTTATATAATTACCTTCTTTTCCTCTAGTTATGTTTTTTGCTTTAATCCTTTTTTGTCTGACAAAAACTTTGTTTTGGCAGGCATTTTCTTGGGTTACCTTTCTCCACCCTTTAATCTTTCCACTGTCTTATGGTTTTAAGTAAATCTCTGTCTTTTTAAAATTAAATTTTAACCTTTTTTTCTTTTGGCTATCAAATTTAACTTATTTATTTCTTATGATCTTTAATAAATTTGGATTTTTTTCCCAATTATTTTTATACTATTTTCTTTAAAAAAATTCATCTTCGTTTCTTTGTCTTCTTCTATTTTTTCCCTTTTGTACTTTATACAAAGATAGAAGAAGGACACGGTCTTAAAATTGGTTGTTATCAACATGGTATTCTAGGCTTTTATTCTGTAATTTCATTTTATTCTTAATTTCTATAGTATCTCAACATTTATAAAGAGACTCACAGCATCCTTCCCAATCTCCCCCCCCACTAAAAAATAAAAATAGAAAAGGTCAATGGTATGTATATTTTGAAAGAAACCTCTTTGTCCCATGTTTTTCTCAGTGACTTGAAACTCTGGGACATGGGCGTCTCATTATCAAATGTGTTTATCAGGTGTCAGTGGCCCTATGCCCGGCCCTATTAGGGCAAGGTCAGAAGTCCCTTTCCTCCTGAACGCTTCACGGTTGGGTGCCACTATGAGTGTCGATGTAGAATTATAGAACGTTTGGCGTCAGGGAACCCCGGAGCTCATGCAGCACAGCGGCTTCCAGAATTACTGGGGAGGTGGGCGTGCGGTGGTCCCTTCTTCGGAGACGTCTCAGAAAGCCGATGTCTTAAAAATAAACGAAATGCAGCCGAGGCTCAGATTGGGACAAGCTTAGGGAGCCTGTGGCCCACGGCAGCTTGGCCCCCAGGTAACGTCGGGGAACCCCAGAACCCACACAAAGCTCTTTCCACTTAAGCCCGGCATTCCAGCAGGGGAGACACTGGACGCACCGGGGCCTCTGGCTGGCGGCTGGACCAGAGTTCAGTCCTTCGCAGCCCCTTCTACGCCCTCCTGCCTCTTCGACCCCTTTGACCACCCCGTGAGAGGCAGGGCAATGTCCTTAACCCTAATTTTTTTTTTTTTTGGCAGTGGAAGATTTTATTTTCCCTTTTACTCTTATCCTAACTGTCCCTTTTCTGAACAACATAAAAACATGCACACTGACGGCATTCTCATGAAGAAAAACGAAGTAGTGACCATGCTGTAAATTAACAAAAGTAGCAGAAACAAGAGGTCGTTTCCTCAGCCAGGCAGTTTTCCCCTCATTTAGGAGGAGAGTCGGTTATGAGGTGATCCGCACATTTCCACCTTAATTATTCTCCCCTCAATCCAGGTCACATCTCGTGTCTTGCTTGGGTCACCCCAGTTTGCCAGCCATATGTCCACGTCTTAATGTCCAGCCCCGGGGTCTGCTGCTGGCTTCCCCGGGGGTCTCTCCGACCATGGAAACGCATGTCCAGTGTTTGTAACAGGGACGTGGCCACACAAAGCCTCGTTTCGTCCGCCGCGTTCGGTCGCTGCAGGCCCTTTGCCACCCTCCTCCGTGTGGGTCCCAGAGGGATCGGCTCAGGCAGACAGACCACATGCTATTTCTGTGCTTCTTCAAAGCTGCTTCCCAGCCACCTCTGCACCCACACGCTGGAAGGAGACGTTTGCAGCTATAATCGGCACCCTTAAATACTAGTTCAATTCGGAGCGCGTACAAAATCCGTACGGCTCCCGCCTCTGAAAGAAGCTCTAAAAATATCCCATGGCCGGGGGCCCTCCGAGACCTTTGGCCATGAGGCGATCCCTCCGAACTCTTTAGGGCTTGTGGGGTGTTCCAGAAGCGCCCGGATTCCATGTTGGGGGGTCCGATCCAGGGAGGGCCGTGTGTGACACCGAGGAGTCTCGGCTGCCGACTGGCGATTTCCTTCCTCGTTTCT